TTCTCCAAGACAATCCTTAAAGGCAGAACTCCTCTCTCAATGAGGCAGAGGTGATTTAGCAGAACTTAGAAGGAAAGAGGGTGAGTAGGTCTTCTTTTATACTGGCTGGTTGGGAAGGGCTCTTTCTCTGAAACCCCCTCCAGTTGAGCACTGATAATACCTTTCATTAACTTCTCTAGTCTATAGCATTGGTATTCTAAAAGCAAGCCAGAATCTAATGAGTTTATTGTGCATACAATTTTAATGATGGTTTTAATGCTAATTTATTCAGAGTCCACATTCTCAGTTCAGAGGCTAAAAATGACTGTTTAAAAAAATCCTATAAAGTTCTACTGCAATGTAAGAAAATCTTAAATGGCTTAAGAAGAGCTTTCTAAATCTTGACTTCCAATGAATTAGATATTGTAAATGTGGTCTAAATATAACAGTTGATAATTGCTGATTCTCTTCCAATGATAAGCTTAGAAAGGTATAGTGTGCCACTTGAGAATATTAATCTTCCAACAAATGCTGGCAATTTGGACTTACTCTCCTCTTCATCTTGCGGTTAAATAGTTTTGTTTTTTTTTTTCTTAAAAAATAGACAATTTATAAGGAAAAAAATATATAAACACTCTTTAAGCAATTTGGTTACAAGCATTACATCACAGAAAAATTCCACAAGGAATAGTAAAATATTTTGAATGGACATTTTTTCATTTTCACATGATGAGCTAGAATTTTTTTTTCTTTTCATTTCTTTGTTTTGGTATTGGATTTTATTTGTAAGTTTATTGCTTCTGTGTCTTTTTGTCGTTAGATTATAATTGTACAATAGAGGTGCTGTCCCTAATAACCTTACAAGGCAACATTGTATTTTTGAGACCCAGGAATGAAATAGATAGGGCCGCTGTTACTTCAGCAGCCTCAGAGAGACGATGGCTAGGACAATAGTCCGAGTGCACCACGATGCACGAAAGAAGTCTCCTGGCTCAATCAGGACACTTTGGTTTGGAAGATGAGATAGAAAATTCTTAAATGTAGCTTAGCTGCTGCCTCACATCTGTTGCATAATATAACATTTAAAAAAACATGCTATGAATACAGGGATAAAGAGTATAAACTGGCTCTTCTTGGCATTCTCGTAGCAGGCTTCACCTAGGCTGATGTGAAAAACACGTCTTCACTATGCTACTAATGAACGCACGCAAAAGTACCTGGTGCGAATATTCGGTGAAAGTATTTTTAATGATGCAGCTCAGAGCCTTAGGGGTTCAGGGGGATTGGAGAAGGTCCAGAGCGAAGGCAAGTTTGAGGACAGGGAGGAGGTTCCAGAGAGAACAAGAGAAATGGAAAGGGATCAAAAAAGCTAAAGTGCAATTTTAAAATATAAATTACTTTAAACGCAGAAAAGAGATTCTAAAGTTTCTAAAGTTGCTACTGTTGGCATAGGCACGGTTTTATTCAAATTTAAATGGGTTGTTTCCTTCCCCTTCTCAGATATACTGCATAATGGAGCTTGAATGGCTTAAAGCTACTGCACATTGTTCGGGAAGGGACAAAAAAGGGCACTAAGGAGGCTGATTAGTGCAAGGCAACCTAGGAAATTGGGGTGGGGTAGAGAGAAGCAGAGATGAAGTTTTTACACTTTTTCAAGAAAGCTGTTCCAGTTAAAGTTACTGATTCCCTTTAGCAAAACTCTGCTTCCTAAAAGGTTAAGACGTTACTTTCAAAATGAAAAAAAAAAAAAAAAGTTAAAAAAAAAAAACTGTTTGGAACAGAGATTTAAAAAATAACTCACAGAGCAATAAAAATCCTTAAAATTTCTATGCACAGAGATCTAAGCAAACATTTCCACCACATGATGGAGAATAGCCATTTGAAACCCTGAAAAAGGAAGATACACACAACTAGAGCAGTTTATTATGAACTAATACTTTAGAAAACAAGTAGATCCTACAGAAGAATACTGTTCAAATGGAATGTTTAAAAATAACATTTATTAATAAATATCTTATAAAATTCTAAATTAATAGATTCCTGTTCAAATTTTGCTTTGGTCCTTGAAATTTCACTGTATACACACACACATACATATATATTTTCTTAGATGGTTTTTATTAACCAGAAAGAAGCACATTCTGTGCTCACTGGATGGCTAGGTTTATAGCAGTTACTGATGCTTAAAACCCCCCAGTCAAGACTGATCTTTTACCTCAGCTGGTTTATAATTTTAATGACAAACTCAACTAACACACAAAATTGATTTCACTCACAGGCACCAACCACCTGAACTTCACCACCGACACGCCTCTGGGCAGAAGACGGGCAGTCTTTGATTTCTTTGCTCTAGTAGGCTCCAAAGAGCATGTGCTCCCAGAAAGCCACCCTAATAATCACACAAGTGATGGCACACAGACTGCCTCGCCCCTACAGGCCCCGTTAAGACTGTGACTTGCATACACTGACATGGAGGTAGGACAGGGGTGAGTGAGAGTGTGAACGGGAAACACTGAGTCTTAACACTGGGTTCTAAAATGAGCACATTCATCCTTAGTTAGGATTTCACTATTTCCGCCCTGGCAGCCTATATTGAGAAATATCTTTATGAGAATTATCTTTACAAGAAACGATCAAGATGAGGATGCCTCCATTGAGGTGAGGATTAGAAACACTATCAGGTGCACTTATCTAGTTATTGACTCAGGTACCTAGGCAGAGGAGGCACGGTGGAAGTTTCCAGATGGGCTGGCAGTGACTTCAGAGGCAGATCCTGCTGATACAACACCCCATGCGAGTAAGGAGAGGCAGTGCCGGCAGGGCAGGGACCATTCCTCCTGGGACGGGTGCTCTGAGGCCATTAGAACAGATTCGTGCAAATGGGGATCGACGGCCCAGTCACAGAGGGGGAGAGGAGAATGGGGTGACAAGGAGATGTTTTCCCAGATTGGCAAAAAGTGTAGAGCAAGAAGGCAGCGTTTTCGGGTTGACTGATTAATTCACCTTATTGTTTGGCGAAGGCTGGGCCTGCCAGTGAAATGCTTCATATTGATAAGCCCAGTGTTGGATTTGACCAATGAGTTTTTCTTCGGGATTTCTAGAAGCACTAAGGCTCGTTGGCATCTTTCACTGACTGTATTTCCACACTGCTAATGAACATACCTAAAGGCCCTGAGTATAACAAGAAGACAGTTTATTCTAATTATACGTTGAGGCCCGTTTGCTATCGTGCATGTGTGGTTGGTTTGCCTACTTAGCATAAAAAACAGACATAATTGAGCTATATATAATGCACATCAGTCAAACTGTCAAGTTGCTGAATTAAAACTCAGGCAAGTTCTTAACTGCAAAGGCTTTCAGTTTAACAACTAAATATTTCAATCAAGAGGTGGATCAGAAGTAAACCATCATTTCAGTGACAGCCTACTCCCTGGACATTCTGATATTATCAGTGGATTTTTTTAAAATCCATATCATTAAGTGCTATGCATGCAGTAAAAAAAGAAAAGTTTTTGTTTACTTGAAACAAAGCAAAAATAAAAATAAGAATAAAAATATTCAAAAATCCAACCAAACAAACATTTCAAAGAGCTCTTTTTTCCTTTTTGTAGGGGGACACATAGATAGTCCTAAAAGGAATTTTGAAAAAATTATATTTTATTTCAAAATAGAGATGATGTTAATGTCTTTTTTAGCGCAGTCTTAAACATTTCTTAGGAAGACAGGTTAAAACAGCTGTTTACGGCTAGGATTAAAAAAAAAAAACTATGAATTCAGTATTTAAAATACTTAAAAATGATATGTTTGCCTAAAATATAATAGAAAATCCTTTTCATTTGCATTTTTTTTTCTTTTTTCTCTTTTCTCTTTTTTTTTCTTTTGCTTTTGTTTTGATCTTTACAGGATATATCCTGTCATGAGTTTCACTGGACACGTCAAACCTTCTTTTCAAAGTACTGCACAGGTGGAAAAATTGTTGATGAATATTGATTTACAAAGTAAGTTATTAGATAGAAACCTAATAATAAAAATCAGGCTTCATGACCATATTTTCTTTTTTTTTCTCCAAAATAGATTCTTACACTATTGTGAGAAGAAAAAAAAAAATCTTTCCATCTTTCCCTTTTTCAACTTTTATAAAAAGCCACACCTTTGTAAAATACTATTCTTTTAAATCTCCTGAACACACACACACACAAACACGCGCACTTAGGAGGTCAGGCATTGGAATGGAGATGAAACACCAGCACCTGTCTAGACTGCGAGCGAGAAAGGAGCTCCTGGTATTGTGAGATGCAATATTCAAACATTAGCACAGTAGGATGGCTTGTTTCAAGGAGGCACAACTGTGGTTTGGGTCTCTGATTTTTACAATGGGCAAGTCCACATCAGTTGTTGAAAATATAAATCAGAATTATTCAGAAGTGAGGGGTAGCCGTGTCCACGGGTTTCTTTCAGCAGCCAGAGTGCTTTAACTGCTGTGGGAGGCCTGAAAAGCAACCCTATGGAAGCATTAGGTTTTCTTCTCTTTGTTCCTCTAGTCTGCTTTCACCCACCAGAACAGCAAAGCTCGTTCCATAGGCTTAAGAAAAAAAAAATACCAGTAAATCTTAGGCTATTAGCAGCTGATGATTGAACAATGTAATCTGTGTAGTGAATAGAGGCCTTCTGAATTATTATATAGTGCGTGGATTTTCAACATTACAGACAGGCCATATAAAACCAGTTGTAATTCGAGGGTGTGATGTTAGAGCCCCCCCGAATCATAATTTGGGATTTCACAATCGAGGCTTACAAAGCTCTCTTCCCTAGTATCCCGACAGCTGGCATTCAACAACGCTTCACCTATGTCTAAGCCACCTTTTATTTGCTCTGATATTAAAAACATTAAATCAGGCACATTAAGCATCTCCTGGTTACTATTTTATAAAAAGCAAGAGTTGAATGAACTCCAGCTGTGGGTCACAGGCAAGGGAAGCAATGGTTAGGTCCACATTTTTCAGGTTTGCTTTTTTTCCCACTAAACATTATTTTCTTCTTGACATGCAATGCTAATGGGGTAAAATAAGACAAAAGAAAGTTCTACTGAAGAGTAAACAGGGAGTCCAAGAAAAAGAGGAAATGGAGAGTGGAACTGGACATGGAGAAGGTGGCCCGAGAGGAGGAGGAGAGGTGGTGAGATGTTTGGTGGTTCTATTTGGACATCAGTGGATCTTATAATCTTTTATAATAAGAGGGGAAAAGGCTCTGTGATTATCTGGGATTCTGGTGACATCACAGCACACACTCAACGCGTGTTATGATGCCTTCAATTTCTCACCCAGTTACCTTGGATCTGTTTACTTGACATCTAGGTATGCCTCATTTTGGCTAAAAGCTGCGGTTTAACAAGAGTCAATGTTTCAGGCAAAGGGTTGGACTGATAAGAATGAAACCATGACTATATACAGAAAGTTCAGTTTATAAACAAGTAAGTGGTACCAGAAAATTGGAGAAAAGCACCAAAGCATTTCCCAAGCTGATAGCTATTAATTGCATAACTCCCTTTTTTCTTATATAACCAAGTATAAAAGACAACATTTCCATAATAACTATAAAAATGAAAGCCAGTCTTTGAAGGGCTGAGGAGTCTTCCAGATCTGAGTTAATTCTAAAAATGCCCTTAAAAGAAAGGACGCATGGTACGCGACAGCTCTTCTTGGAGGCAAGGTCTGACCCGTGGATTTTAAAGAATCGGATTCAGGTCTGTTCTGTGGGTGGTGAGCTGACTGAGGGTGGAGCTTCCTACCACCTCGCTGACTGCCGAGGAAGTAGTGATGGTGTTATGTTGGATGACTTGCTGCTGAGAGCAAGCAGGGACGGGGCTCGCAGGCGGGCTACTCTCTGGACCTAGGAAAAAACACACATACACACACACCAATATAGCTTTCTTGGGTGGACCCGTGAACCGCTCAGAAAAATATTCCTAGGCATTTACTAGAAATAGAAGAGTCTCACACATTTCCTCCTGGAGGTTAATTTCAAAATGTTTTAAACTGTTGTCACAAAGCTATGCCTTCCCACTTTATAGCTACAAGCAAAGCCATGCTTTCTATATCAGCAAAATGATTTGCTGTGTTGTAGTCTTGGTATGTGAATGTCCCCATCTTGTATTGTCAAATAACCATCCATATATCAAATGTGGAAAAATACTCACATGTGGTGGGAGAATCTGGGTTGCTCAATCTAAAAAATTATTTGAAAATAAATTGACCTTCAGCCATGAATCCCTGCTCCTCCCACCACCCCCTACTCAACTAGCATTTAACCTATTGATATTTTGGCTACAGAAATGGGAATCTACAAAAGGGATCTACTTTACATACTGGTAAACCAAGACAAGGTTACTAGCTCTCCAGCCCAGTGAATCACATGCAGCATATCCTGAGGCATTGGGTGGGATTCCCATTGGAGTGAATCCCAATGCCTGTAGCCCAGCCCATGGATTTCTCTAGAAGACTGCTACCCCACTGGTAATTGGGCTCCAGCAGTCCATTTTCCCACTAGCTGCAGAATTGGAATATAGTAGGATTTTACAATGTGGAATGCCAGGGAAAGACTAGCCAGAATCTTATCAGGAGGTAATGGTGGGATGGTGGTGGGCAGGGGTCAGAAAGGAAAGATTCCTCCTGGTACAACAGTCTGGCAGCCACTCAAGAATTCTAGTATGATAGCTGCCTAGGTGTGCAATCTGTACTTCTGCCCTTTCAATAAAATCCAATGCAAAATTAGTGGCAAAAAATTGGACGCTAAAAAAGCAAAAAGTCAGTGACTTACTTAGATATCCTTGTGATTCTTTCTGCATGGCTGTTATTGGACAGTCTTTATGCGTTAACAACAATTGTTTCAGCTGTGCCACCTCGTTTTTCAACATAGACACTTCATTCTGGAAAGAGACATACCAAGGTCATGTTGAGAAGACCAACCCACAGTCCCAGACACTGTGAACAATGACAGGAACAAACTTTTCTTTTGTGTTATGTCTGAATGATATTAAGAATATTATTTAGTCAGGTTCACTTGAACATTTGCAATGGGCTCTTGGTTTGGCCCTCACATTTACCAGGAGCTTTCTGAAGAGACCAGATTTTAACTCAAAAGCTGAATCCTACCATAAGGGCAGATCACACCCTTGAGTTGGACTCTAGAGCTGAGTTACTTGGGTGGGAACCCCACTTTACAGTTACTGTGCTCCCAGACAGCTACCGCAACCCAGCAGAGCATCAGTAACCTTATTCATGAGGATAAAGAGTGCAAAGTTCTATGGTTGTGAGGATTAAATGAAAACTCTTAGACCAATGCCTAACACATATTAAACACTCAATAAATTTAGCTACCATAGTGATCACCTGCACTGTCTTACAAGCTCAGTTGACATTCAGTAAGAAGAGAAGATGAATTATGTGAGGCATGTATTGGGAAGACTTGTGTGGTAGGATTAGCGGCTGCTAATGAAATGACTAATCTACCATCAGATTTCCCCCAAACAAGTGCTAAGTGAGCTATAACTCAGCAGAGCACTTTTCTCTGCGTGATGTCCATTTAGCAGGAAGCATGGAAACCTGTGTAACAATTATTAATACTCGCCAGGTGGGATGAGTCAGTCCAGGGAGACAAGGGACAATGAAGTTTTGGGCAGATTGAATTAATTTGATTGATTCATTAACTAGATAGGCTAATTTCAGTTTATAAACTCTTTCCTTCCCAAATATCAGAGTGTTGTGGATTTTGTGTGTATTTTTTCCTGTTGACTTAGGAAAATGCCCTGAATATCCACTTTCTGTAGTAATTCACAAACAGGTTCATAGTTTTGTAAAAAAAAATGTACTTGGCACCCCTTGTTTACCAGTGTAAATGGAGACTAGATGGTTGGCTTCAGGTGCATCCACTTGATAAAAGTAAACTGTAAACCTAGAATGATCTCAAATAAGCCATTTTGCAGTTGTTTGAAAAACACCCTTTCTCTGGTTAGTGTTCATTTGTGGCTGCCAGGCATTATATTCCACAAGTTGGAGACTTTTAAAAAGCTAACATATAGAAAAGGACGTTTTAAACATTGCTGTCATTAAGTGTAGCTACACTTTCTATATGAACTTGGTCTTTCAGGCATGTATTTATCACCTAGGAAAGTAAGTTTGGGATTCTAGAAGTTAATTTGAAAAGTCTTTTTTTTTTTTTGAAACCTGTTTCACAGAATAAATACTTCTCATTTTCAAATTCATTTGAAAAATAGATTATAAGGAACTGCATGCTGAATTACATACAACATAATTAAAATATCACATGCAAAATGTTTTCTTTTTCTCCTCCACATGAAAAAAATACAAAATAAAAATGCCTATCTGAGAAATTAGCACTAATGATGAATAAATCACTTAATTGCAGAGGAAAATTGCACTTAAATCTGAGAACATTCAGGAAAGAGCATCACACTTTCTGCCTTCAAATAACTGTGATTGATAAGGGATTCTGTCAAAGCTAAAAGTCACCGTTGTCAATTCGAGCTCAGTGGGATAACTTTATTTATAGGATAATTTATTTAGCCTTAAATACACTTTCCTTTCTGATTTTATGCCCATTTCAGATTGCCTTCCTTGCTTTCCCCAGCTCCCTAGCTGCTTAAAATAGCATGTTTAAAAGAAAGTCACTTTTAGACCATAATATAAAAGGCAATCCCTGTTAAAAGCAAAACAAACAAAAACAAAACAAAAAAGGATTGTGAGTTTTTTTGTTGTTGTTTCAGGATGAAATACCATATTATCATTTTATTTGCATTTGGACTATAGAAATAACACCCTTCCTAAATCACAACTGTGAGGCATCAGCAGCCTAAGGAGACACTCTCAGCTGCAGATAATGCAGAAAATGAGTCTTAAAAAATGGAGTCAAGTTCCAATTTTTAATCTACCCACCTTTTTCTACTTTGACCTAGGAAATAACAAACAAGGTAAGTATTTAAAACAAAATTTGCTATTTTTTAGTTCTGGAGGAAAAAAAATTCCTGTTTGGGGGCCATCTTGGAGAGTTTAGTCTGCGTTTCTTGCCCCATTTGGTCCTGAAACAGTCACTCTTTTCTAGGCAGTGTTTGATTCCCAGGTACAAAAGGTTCACTGCCCCTTCCTTAAGAAACACTTGGAATATATTCTCTGGGTTTCTACAGGAGCTAACTGCCTATAGTTCTTGGCACACCCCAAATCATTTCATAATAAACCTGTTGCTTGAATGAGAGGCCAAAATAAAATAGCACCAATTATCAGGATGAGTAGCATGTGTGGTGCTAGAACAAAAGTTTGACACAAAGTAATAATATCAGTGGCCTTTGTGGATAGCAAAGTGTTTTCTTAATATACCAGTTTAGAAACTGAGGCTCTGAGTCTTGTAAGGATAGGTAAAAAATTTTAATCTAGCCACCTTTTCTGCATAGTTTCTACATAGAAACTATGTTCTTCCACAGGGGTATGTCCCACTTCTCACCAGACTGGGCTGGGGCTGGCGGGGTCTCAGAAATGTGGTATGTATACACAATGGAATACTACTCAGCAATCAAAAAAGAAACTCGGGCCATTTGCAGCAACATGGATGGAGCTGGAAGAGATCATGCTCAGCGAAATAAGCCAGAAGGAGGAAGAAAATATTGAATGGTTTCACTTATAAGTGGAGCATAGGAAAACTGAACAAAGGGTCAGGAAAAAAAGGCAAAACTTGCAAGCTGACCATAGACTTGAGGCAAACAGCAAGGGAGGGGGCAGGAGAGGGTCAGAAGACGAAAGGGATGAGCACAAGGGACTATGGTGATGGTTCATGGATGATATGGTAGTGGGAGAAATATGAGGACTACACTTGAGGGGAGAACAATGATGCAAGAAAATAAATTAAAAATAAATTTTAAAAAATGTAGAAATGTGACAACTGACCATCATTTTAAAGATATTGTGAATATGGATATATTTCTTAATGTGTTAATAATTATGTAATTTAGCTATGTTATGACTGAACACTGAATACCAAATCAGATCCTCCACGGACATAAATAATCAGCCTCTTTTTTAAATCATGTACACGTAACTATGATGCTGATAAGGATGAAATAAAAGTCTGATAGGCACAAATGCAACAGAAATTCACAGGAAATTCTGCCTCCAGCAGAAAAAGGAACTTGAAAGTGGAAATGGAGAAAATAGGGTTGGGTTTCCAACTTGTCACCCAAACAATTGTAAAACGAGGGTTAGAGTAGTTTTCTAAGTTCTTTCCACCAAAATACTTTTTTTCTTTAATGCTATGACTATTTCTGTGCTACCTTCTATTGAGAAAACTAATTTATAGAATAATGTACTTCTCTAAGGAAGGACTCAATCTTCATTTTTATGCATTAGTTAACATTTTTGGTATTCTCAAAGATGCTTTTATTTCAAGTTTTATATTTTATATAAGGGAGCCAGTTTTAGCCCTTTCTGTACTAAGAAATCTTATCAAGGCAGATTCCAAAGCAATATGTATCATTTCATTTTAGCACAATTTTTGTTTCCATACTGTTGAGAGAGTCTTCATCAGTCTATAAGGGAGCCTTTGGCTTAGGAGAGGTTAAGAATCTGCCTTAGAGAGAGAGGAATAAATCATGTGCTGTGCACATGCATAATCATCTTAAAGATTCCATATTGATAAGCTGATTGATGTAGGAAACACACAAACACAAGACTATATTTTAAATAAAAATCCTTTTCAAGGTAACATAAGTAGAATCACCTTGAATTCATTTTGGAAGAGAACAACCAGATAGCAAATGTTTCAAAATGCTTGAAAGAAATCAAATGTGGCCTGCAGCTCTAGTAGGGAAATAAAAACCAGGACTTCTAGAGGCATTTTCTTACTCTGAATTACCTTGTTTTATGAATTGAAGCAAATCACAATTTTTCTAACTCCCGTGGGTATGTTATAATAATAGTTCTAGGCCCTCATATAAAAGCACTTTACAAAAGCAAACTTTTAATAATCAGTATTGATTCTGTTACTGGATCAACCCTTAGTCTTTTTGTTTTTCCAAACTAGTTTGGGTTTGCTACTCTGAAGTAGTTAGCCATTTCAACGGGGATTGTGAGAGGATGGATGTAGTTAGATGGATCTGTTCTTAAGCTCACAAGGTTGCCTTGGGCTGAGGCAGCACCTCTGTAGAGACATTCAATACTACAATAACATACTTTAAACAAACACTCCAAGAAGTCCCTAATAGCCACATTTGCAGTTTTTGGCTTTGGAGATGTCATTTTGTTATATGATAAACCCAGAATGTTTTTCGATGTAAGCAATAGTCTCTGCCAAAAAAATAATTATCGAAATGGGTCCTGCAATACAGAGTCCCTCCCCCACCACACACACTTCTGTGCATGTGTGTAGATTAGCTGAGGCCAGGTTTGGTTCATTCTAAAACAAAGAACTTTCAATTTGTCAAACAACAGTTCCCATCTGGCCTTTTCTCTTGCCAAGTCCCAAACCTGGACTCGTGTGTCTAAAATTTCAGCAGCGACTTAGGCCATGTGTCTTTGCACTCAAAAAGAAAAGCAATTATTTCCATGAGTGACCAGATGATTTCCATATCATCTATGGAACACAAATGATCCACTGAGCACTACATCAGCCGTGGATGGATTTAGAGCTTTCCTAGCCACTCTGTCAGAAAAAGAATGTGAATTCCTTTAGTTGAAGAACTTTCGAGAATGAAGGTCACAGAGCATGGGTTCGGACAAAGGAATTGTGTGGGTCCTCATCCTGACACTTGTGGGTTGTGTTTCTTTGGGGAAGACTCCCTCAAGTCCCCGGACTTCAGTGTAAAAAATCAGATTGGGTGGTTTTTCACATTTCCCTTAATTCCTATACCTGTGTTGACCTCTTGGGTAGAGATTTGTTGTGAGACGAGGAAATGAAGTCTGGGGGTTTGATTTTTTTTTCTTAGGTCTGGTTTTTCCAATCTGGAACTCTAAAGCCCAGCTAGAAGGGTCTATGCTGGAAAACAACTCAAAAGTGGCAGCTGGCCATCCAGACCCTGGGTATTCCGTTTGGCTGGAGTTTGTTTGCTTAGCACCTTCTATTTCTGTTGACTTAAAATTTGGCTCACTGGGCCAGCCTCAAGAGAGACACCTTTTTCTTTTGACAAGGGTCCAGTGAGAGGGAAAGGGTCATTCAGAGGTAGCAGAATCAGAGGTAACACCTATTCAGCATCACCAGGTATGATGCGAAGTGCTGAGCATCCCAGAACACACCGAGTGGTTGTGGCTTCTGTCCCTCTGAGGCCAAGCAGAGGTTGGAAAATATTAACAATTCAGTCTTTTCAGAAACAGTTCCTTCCTTGGGCACTACTTTACCAACCAAAAATCTTGGTATCTGTTGTATAGCCCCTACAGAATTTTTTTAGGTTTTCAGGAGCAAGGGTTCTGGTATTTCTTTGCCTTAGCCATTTTGGCTCTAAAGAGAAGTGAAAATTAACTAATGAAGATCGAGTAAAGGACAAATTTGCCTTCTGTATTTCATAAAAGTGGTAATCAGTAAGCCTATTTTTTATTACATGATGAGCCATGACATGCAGCTGACCTCAAAGTCAGTGGCATCTATGCTTTTGCTGGCTCTTTGCAATGACCCCCTCCTCATTTCTATTTTTTAGAACCATGGTCAATGCCCAGGAGTAATTCTGCAAGGACTCATTTTAGTTAAAACTGATTTTACGATAATTTGTTGGCATTGGATGTATATCAGCTGGTCTTTCCTGGCTCCTTCATTTAAGGCAGTGGTTTTAAACCAGGGATGATTCTGTCCCCCGAGCTTTCCCTCCTCCCCAGGGACATATCAGTTGGCGACTACAGTCTGGAGACTTCAGCTGTCACAACTGGGGAGTAGGCTCAGGATACTGCTCACATTGAGTGGGTAGAGGTCAAGGATAGTGCTCAATAGCTTACAATGCATGGGATACCACAAAGAATTGTTAAGCCCCTAAATCAATAGTGCCAAGATTGAGAAAACTGCACATTTTCAAGTTTATCTTATAGACCTCAGAACCGGTAGCAAGTTCCAGGGATCCCCACACTTTGCTCATTATAGACCTACTACTATAATATTTGCCAGGTCCATATACACCAGAATTTGCATTTACTTAATCTATTTGTACAAATTAACTCATTTTTAATCATTTAGACATATCCTTACCAATGATATCTATGAAACTGGAAGGTTTGATGTTCTAACTGCAGTTTTCAACACACATAAAATAAAAATTAGGATTATTCATATTCAAAGCACTTATCCATGTTCTATCTGAGAATTTCTTGCATACTACTGTGCCTGCCAGGTTCTAGAATGACAGACTTTCAAGTTGGCATGTTGTCGAGGTGCTGAGTCCAGCCATCCCTTGATGGATTGACTTGCCCAGTTGCTTCCTTGCCACTTGGTCAGGAAGCCAGTTCTTGGACACTTGAGATGGGAGCTCCCCTGTTTCTCAACAAACACATATTGAGTGTGGACAAGGAGCTCACCATGCCAGACACATATTAGAAATGGGGGGCAGGTGGTGGGGCAGAGGGTAATAAGACAGCTCCCACCTTCCGACAGCATAAATGGTAATGGGAGCATGTTATCTTATTTCCTCTATATCTTTAGAGGAAAAAGTGCACTTCCCTAAATTATAAAGCTCAGCCCATGTATACCCCAAACTTTCCTTGGATACATTTAACTTAACACTGCATGCCCCAAGATCATTTCTATTGCAGGGAATTGAACATACACAGATTTTGGGGGCTGGCATCTTAATTGCTTCTTTTTAAGGATGTGCAGAGAACCAGGTAGGGGAAGGGGAAGGTGACCTATGAAATATCATGGAGCAGATCCTCCCACTTGGGGCAATCTTCCCTTCTGACCCTCCACTTTTTAGCCATTCTCTCTGCTCCAGGAAGCTCTCGCTTATAACCCACAATGCTTACTGCTACCCACTCCCCAGCCCCGCGCCCCCAACCAGCCCCAGTGCTTGTCACAGATCCATCTAGTTGCCTTTTTTTCTGCTGGCAAGCTGTGGATTCCTTTTTGTGTTAGAACAAGTGCCTTCAACTGCATCATTTGTATGGCATGAAGTCTGTGGAGAGGCCCACGAGACTGGCGTTTCCTCCCCTTCTCTCACTCCCAGAAGTGGCCTTGTTATAAAATGTCCCTGAATGAACTGCCTATGAAAAACGAAAGTCTTGATGCAAGATGCAAATCTTGTCGATTTTGAAAATGAGATGGAAGCTGCCTTTTCTTATAGAGCAAAATAATAACCAGAAATCTTTCTTTCCTCCACTCAACAACAGTGAATCCGTGTAAGCCGGAACAGCCCCCTCACCTGGTGAATATAAAGAACAGCTTTTTAATTGAAGATTCATTAGGTGCCAGGCACTGTGCAAACTGTTTTGTACACATTAGTTCACTTACTCCTCCCAACAACTCTGTGAGGTTATTGCTCCCATTCTGTGGATGAGGAAACTGAGAGCAGGAAAGGTTAAACACAGAGGTAATTGCTGAGCCAGGGTTTGAGCCTCAGAACAAAGCCTGTGCTCCCAGCCCTGAGACTTAGCTGGGCAGGTTCTCCCTCCTCAGAGCTTGGTAGACAGACAGATTTAACACTGAGTGGTTTGTTTTGTTTGTAGATGTCCTGGCAGTAGCCAAGCTTGAGGAGGCCTGCAGTTGCCCCGTGGGCTATACCATGTGGTATTAAGGCTTAGGTCAACAAGTGTTTGCCGGGGCAGGAAATGCCAGCTGTACACAGGGCCTTTGAGTCCCGGGAAAGAGACAGTGGCCTGCACCTGAAGTTGCATGTTTGTCTGGGTGAGTTCTTCTGCTTTCTTTTCCAGTGACATCACCCAGACCTTCCTCTTCTGTCTGCAGCGAGTGGCAGCTGCCCGGTTCCGTTCCAGAAATTTCCTCCGCCTCTCGTCAGGATCCTCATCCACCACCCTCCGCCGACGCCCCCCTGTGGGCTGGGGTGGCTGTATTGTCTGGGTTGGCTGCATCTGTTGTGTGGCTGGTGAAACCTGCTGCAAAAGAGGGAATGGTGAGGGGAGAGGGAAGAAACCCAGGCAAGTGCTGAAACTCAATGCGGAGAGTCATTGCCCTAGAGTGCTTATCAAACCTGTTTTCTAAGAATGAAGTAAACAGTGAAATCACACTCCTGGGGGGAAAATAAAGTGGCACTCAGCTATATTCTATGATGTTTTAGCAGGATATAGGAGCGACTTGTGAAATGAGAGTCAAGTAGATTTTTCCCTGACAGAGGGGCTTGACTGAATCATGAGAGGAAATACTTTCCCCCCCCTTAAGATGCATTTAAAAAATGTGAACTGCCAATGGATAGCAATAGGTGAAAAAAGACAGGTCAGTGTTATTGTAACAATATTGATGAGACTGCCGTCACTTGCAGAAATTTCCTGGGCGGGTTGTGAGCGCCTTTCATTCTCATGGCTTCAAAGCATGTTTCTAGAACACACCTCAGGGACAAGCTGCCACTGTGCGTCTGTCAAAGAGCCCTGAGACACCCAGAAAGGGACATCCTGTTTTCACTATTTCCCAGTTCTTAGCACAAAAGACTGGCTTGACCTGCAAATTCCAGATGGGTCTACCTGCTCCTCAGAGCTCTGTGCTGGGGAAGGACGGTGGGGCATCCTTGTAAACCACACATTATAAGGAAATCCTAGGAGTGGCAAAGCACTTTATTAAAATGTTTTACTATGCTTATGGATTCCTTGTCAGGTCTGCTTGGGGCTCAGAACATCGAAGGTTTTGGAGACTCCCACACATACAGCTTTATTTCCCTTCATGAGGCAGACACACAGCACCTAGTCAAATTTCTACAACCAACTCTTTATGTGTCTGGACACTAATGCTTTCCCTAATGCACTGTACACCTTCTCCTTCTTCATTCTCAATAAAGGGTGTTTTTTCCCCTTCCATTTCTCAGTCACTCAGGCTTATGGCTGTAATACCTATAAAGCTGTTTTACAAGAGACATTTAACCTGCAGAAATAACAGGCAAAAAGTTTTTAAAATGAAAAACCCAGCAACCTTTCTACAACATTTCAACCCTCTGCTTGAAATCAATCAGAATGACTGTAATTGCACTAATAATGACTACTGTTTGACATGAGCTAACTGATAGTGATATACTTTAATTCTAAACTCTACCAAACTTTATATGACTAACTGTAAAAGAATCAGCTCAGAACTGAGGTTGGAATGTATCTCAGTAATTTTATTTAAAGTAAAGACATTTTTAAAAACTGTTTATTGCTGATTCCTTTCCTCCCAATCACACAGGGATAACAAAATTAATTGTCTAAGTTCTTATTCACCAGAGGGACTGTGGAAGATGTAATCCTTGTTACTGGCAAAGATTTAACACTTGTCATTTCAGATGCTAACCCCTGAGCTAACTGCTATAAAGCAGAGCATTAGGAGGGAATGTGCTAACTTGGTTCTTTCTGCCTTTCTTTTTTTTTTGTGTGTGTGAATTAGTGATTTCTTATATCCAGCTTTCTACAGGACTCTTCAGGAGGCTAAATCTCTATCTCCACACTAAAGCCTCTTCCTTTAACTTCAACCTAAAGCCTCTTCCCTTAACTTCAACCAACCTTTTTCCCTGAAGCTTTTCTGTGCCTTCACCCAAGGAGGTAAATGATGTCATGGTTTCACATTCAGTCCAGATTCAGGATTCGAGATTTGATTTGTTTAAGAGAAATTCCTGGTGACCAGGAAGTGACACCAGGACTCTGAAATCACATACTTATATGCAAGAGAATCACAAAAAGTCAGGAGAAATTCAAATGCAACCCTAAGATCATAATTGGTGTTCTTGGTGTTTATTGTTACTTACAGTTTTATTTTTAAAATGAAATTCTGTGGACATAGATACACTGAAAATTATGATCCAAAATAATTAATTGTGATTTCAAAAATACATAATTTATGCCAAGTCACCTTAGAATCTCAGAGTTGAAAAGACCTAAAATAAACCTCTATTCCTACTCTACGGATGATCATACACTTAAGCAACATGACACTATCTCAGTAACCAACCAAGTTAATATGGTATAAGAGCAACATTTTGCATACTGTCTAAATGATCTTGTTCAAATATTAACAAGACCCACCTGGACTTTTTTCCTTTTTGATATAGGATAAAAAAGCAATTGTTTGTACCGCTAATTATAATAGCAATTAACTAATTGCATATACAATTGGCCACTTACTGACTTGAAATGGAGGGCATTTGGCTAATTGGTAATTACCTAATGAATAGCTTTTATAGTCAATGAACTGTTAAACTTGACTGTGAAGTAACTTGCCCAAAAGGCAACCAAAATTTGATACTATCCCTTTCCTTAAAAAATATGTACACATGTCAATATATTTGCCTATCATTTGTAGTTTCTTCTAAATTCATGTCCTACTACTATAGCAGATGGCTACAAAGGTGCTTTGGGAAACATTTTATTGCTAAACTACTTGCTAAACTTCTATTATACCTATTTGGAATTGATCATGGCTAACAAGTATTGAAAACTGTGCTTTATAGTCTCTTATTTAATACTTATCAAAGTCTATGAGTCTTTCATTATCCCATCTGGCAGATGGGAATACTGAGGAAAGTTAATAGAGTGACCACAGTTAATAGAGTTAATAGAGTGACCACAGGGCAAGGAAGGTGTGTGGGGGGGAAATTAGAGTTTTCTGACTCCGAAGCCTGCACTTTTATTTGCTATACAGAACACTTCTAAGAAGCTTGGCAAAAGTAAACTCATCTAAAGAATTAGCTTATCTACTGAATAGATTAGAGAGTTGCTTGTGAGTGACACATTTATGGGTGGCTATCTGGGTTTGGTATGTGTTAAGAGAGAGGGTTCAAGAGCTTGAAAGCTGTTTGGTGTGACACCCAGAGGAACACGATACAGGAGACAGTGAATAAGTGTTATTTGGCGGGCCCACATTTCAGACACCATCCTGACCCAGCTGGATGGAACCTGGCAACATGGGATGGGCGGAGGGGACTGATGGAGGTCATCCTGCATGAAGATCCAAGGGCCAGCCATGCTCCTAGACATGCCCTTTATCCACTTACTAAAGCAAACTCGGGTACACAGACCCGCCTCTCTTGGCCTGGGTGACATAACGTCTGCCTGGTCCCCCAACCCTCTTTCTGTTGAGTCTAAATACGGGCTTTCTTTCTAGCCACTCCTGGTGACTCTCCACCCCTGGGATTTGGCCTTTCTCTTGAACTGATCATCTACAGAACTTGGCTCTCTGTCTGCTCCTCCAACGCATTTCACATTGGGTGGGATGAGTCACCTTTCTTCACCATTTACACAGCACCTTAGGCCCTCGCATTCATTACCGAGCTTCTTTGTCTGCCTAGAATTGTTACCGTTTAGATTTTTAACTTCTGTTACTCAGACGATTGCCCATTGTATTTAACTTCCATTTTACAGGTGACCAAAATAGAATCTCTATGATGTTAAAAAGCACCATAGCTAGAGCCATGATTAGAATTAACTTGTTTTTCTCATTCTTTATTCACTTCTTTCTTCACATGCTTAAATTTTTTCTAATCCTACTCTTTTTACTGCTTTATTAGGGCTAAGTTTGTAACACATTGCAAAAATAGATTTCAGAGAACTTGAAGGTTATATATATCCTTCGAGATGAGGCTTGAAATTTACCATCTTTATGGAAACTAAGATCTGCTAGGGTCCTATGGGTAGCCGTTACCTCCTGGGAAATGAACACAGTTTCCCAGATTGTTGTCAGCGACACCCCTCCCTTCTACTCCCAAGTAAGAATTTGCTCTATTAACAAGAAGTGGGAAGGAGATCATGAAAAGGTGTACCTGTGCTTGGTTGCCGGAGTGCAGGGGTGGGTGTGGCGAGGTCTGGTGATGTGCTGGGTGTGCATGAAGGTGGGAGTGGGAGTGATGATGTGGGTGGTTCTGCTGGTGATGGGGCTGCGGATGAGGATGGTGCGCTGGGTGCTGGTGCTGGTGCGGGTAGGGGTGATGGGCTGGCAGTGTCTGGTGCTGATGCGGGTGCGAGTGCATGTGATGGTGTGGTGTCTGGTCCTGCCGGGAGCCCATCATGTCCATCATGTGTCCCATGGTGTTCATATTCCCATTTGACATGGCAGCGGGGTGATGAGTCAAGGCGGCCTTCAACCTCTGAAACAGAACAAAACAGGAGGGTGACAGCTGAAGTCATATATACAACAGGGGTTTTGAATCAAAACAACTCGTATTCAGTTCTAAAACTTTATGGTATTATTGTTAACATTTTTTTTTTTTTACTGGTAGCAATATGGCATTTATATTAATTTCAAATTTTCATATATATTGTAGTAATAAGAGAACCAATGTTAGCCACAAATATTAATTAATCCAACTGTCAGAGCAGATGAGCGGGCGATCCATTCAAGATTTGGACACTCTACTAAAAGGTATTTCCTACTGTTCGATTGTTCATATTCTATTGACAGTCAAATGCAAGTTTAAACCAATTAGAACTGCTCAACATGATGGGGCACTCAACAAATGGCCCATCTGATCTGGCACTGTGTTGTATAAAGGTCACGTGAAAATACAAAACAAAACGCTTTCCTTGCAAAGATTTTTTGAATACAAATAATTTAAATCTTAGAATACAAGAGCAGCACTGTTATTTTAGGGCTGTAAATTAGGTTAGTCATCTTTAACTTCTGGAGGTAATGTTAAGATCCTTTCCATCTTGTTATCTTGATATCTCTCGTGGTCCCACCCAAGTCTAATTTTTCTCACATAACGAGTTTCTTGATTTCAAAAAGGGAGTAAAATGGGCCTCCCTGGTGGCACAAGGCATTAAGCACAGCATTGTGAAGCTATCCACAGCTTCTGCAGCACAAGTTCGATCCCCGGCTGGCCATGGAGCTCCCCACATGGCGCAGAAGACCTCTCCTGTCTTGCCTGCTGCTTCCCTCAGCAGTGTATTTCAGTAGATCTGCCTATTCTGTTCCCCACTCTGTCTCTAGTGAATCCTCTCACCCCCCATACCTCTGGCCTGTACCCCAGTTCTTGTATGCATTAATAAATAAATCTTTAAAATGAAAGGGAGTAAGGAAAGTAGAAGACTATGGAGCAGTGCATTTCTTCGAATCATACTGAACAGGTATATATCTATTGCCAGGTGTATTTCTAACACAAAAGCATTATCCATTAACAAGCAAAGAGACATGCACACAAATAAGTGCTCTCTGAGTGTCAGGCAGGGGCAGCAAACTTTTTCTATAGAGAATCAAATAGTACATTGTTTGATCACCATGTGCTTCAGGGTTTCTGTCACAGCTCCTCGACAACTCCTTGACTTTGTCCTTTTAGTGTAAAACTGGCAGTAGACAATATGTATATGGGATGGCGTGCAGTGTTTCATACAACTTTACTTAGGGATAGGACATTTGATTATCATGTCCTTTTCACATGAGGTGCTACTTTACTTTCAATTTTTTTAAATTATTAAAGATTGTCAAAAATATTCCTTGGTCATGTGCAAAATTAGGCAGAAGGCCAGATTCGACCCATGGGCCACTGTTTGTCATTCCTGATGTCAAGACTCTGTCAATAATCAGTTTAGTCCCGGTTTCTTCAAAATTGTTTTTTCTTGTACAAAAACAATTATCATCATATCCTGAGGGGCTTGATGTGCTCACTATTGCAAAATACAGTTACTCCTTGGAAATGTGTCTTTCCTGCAGGTGACAGTCTAGTTGGCATGCTCACGTGGCTTCATGAAGTATTTACTAGGGGACTCAAAGTTCTCTCTCCTGATTTGTGTTCTTATCTTATCAATGATAGTGGTGTGTAATCACTGCAAAAAGGAAAGAATTGTATTTAAATGATGATCAAAGCATTCATGGTCTACTTTGTACTGAACTTAGTATTTTCAGCTGTTTAAACTTGATAACTACTAACCCAATCAAAATCTTTTAGTTAAACAAAGAACCTCTACTTGTAAAAAAAAAAAAAAAAGGAAGGGCCTTGGCAGATTATATTATATCCAATGATTATAATCATTGAAAACATTTCTTATATCCTGATTCAGTCACCACTGAGTGCACTTGCCTCCTTTTTCATGGATAGAGACCACTGCAAACAGCCACTGGCCTTCATCATGGTAAGACTTCCTGAATCCCTGGGAAAATTGGCTAGGTATTTTGTTTACTACTAATTAGAAAAGTGAACCAATACTCTCATCTTCAAATCGTAAAAATGATTTAATTGTTTTTATAAAAAATGCTCATTATAAAAAATTTAAGCACTGCTTATAGGTACAATGAAGTCAGCAACAAATGAACCAAATGCGTTGTTTATATTTGGTGGGTAAACAGCATTCCAGACAACTCCCCACATATACACACAGAGGTAGAGTAATTTTATTACACTGGCATCCTAATAGCATGTGGTTTCAAAACTTTTATTTTGTACATAACATAAACAAAAGAAGTGAAAATCAAATGAATTGCAGATATGTTTATTTACCCCAAGAAAATTTCTATATGCTATCTCCAAACTTAAAGTGAAGAAAATTATGAAAAATAGTATGCAGAAATCATTATGTTCTTTAAAATAGGCATGCTAGATAGTATCAATGGATTTTCTAAACCATTGTTTATAATTTTATTATTACAAAAATATATAGATGCAGAGTAAAAAAAAAATCAACTATGATGAGAACTCAGTTCTTAGGTGTAAAAGTGAAAGTCACCTGCCTCTCTTCCGTCTCTCAGTACCACTTCTCAAATAGAACCCCTTGTGTTCTCAGACATTCTCTATGCATTTATGAGAAAACGTTTGTGCAGACCCCATGAAGGTCCACAGTTTTAAGCCTTGGGTTTGTTTTTTTCACTGTAACAATGTACTTGGACAGTTTCCTGTATTGACAAAAATAGCAAATAATAATGGCCGGCATGATTGAATATTCACCACGTGCCAGTCTTCATTTCAGGCTTCAGAAGTATAGACTCACCTAATCTTCAGAGCAATCCTGCAGGGCCAGAAAGAGGCTACGCCACGCGACCCCACATGCTGCCTCCATAACCCCTTTGAGAAGGGGTGAGAGGGAGTGGGAAGGTATGCTGTGCACACTTTGCAAAAAAAAAAAAAAAGAAGAAACGTGTTCTGTCACCTCCCATCATTGAAAGGAAAGAGCAGAAAGGAGAGAGAGCCTAGAAAAGTTGACAAGTACGAGGCCGGGGCTGTGCAATCCGGCAGCGGCCTGTGTGTGTGTCACTCGGCACACAAGTGGAAAGCCAAAAACACTTTTTCTGAAACTTGGCAGAGGGAAGGGTGGATGGTAAGAATTTCCAGGAAGCTCCACTGCAGCAATAGATTATCCAGGACTGAATACGATCACTTCCCTTGTATTTGCAAAGAATGGTTACTTACATTCCCACAACACAGAGGTCTGAAGAGGTCCACCTATCTCTTCTCTCTGCCGCTACTTCCATGCATATGTGACACTTTTAGGTTTTTCTGCTTATTCAGGGGATGAAAGTCAAAGTCTTATTATGGCTTATGCACAGGCATTTCTGAGCATGGCCCTGCCTTCCCGTCAGTCCTTGCTCGCCCCAAGCAGGCCACACAGGCCGTGTGTGTGATACACTTCTTGCCAGGAATATTCCTTCCCTTTTTTCAGACATTCTACAGCTCTGAGCTCCAGGTACTCCTCAGTAAAACTCTCCCTGGTCTCCTGCTCTAACTCAACTCCTATAGTTACCTGACCCCAGTAAAACCATATTCTTCTTTTTAAAATTCACTGTGTAGCTAGAATTCAATTAATATTCTAACCTTTCCAGACTGTAAGCTTGATCAGAGTAGGAATCATGTTAGATGTTGCTCAGTGTTAGAGTCAAGCTCTAGCATGTCCACATAAGTGGACATCGAATTCTTATTTTTGGAATATATATACATATGCATGAATAAATGAATACATGATGCTTTCTGAGGCTTATGAGGAGGATGCTGCATTTTCATCTTGGATTACTGAAGCTTGCATTTGTATGGGAGAATAACTAGAGTCAACTAAGAATCGATGGTAGAAATCATGCAGACTGATGGGCTATAAAAGGGCCATCTGAAGAGCTCCCTGCTCCGCACCCTGTATGCCCTCCAAAAAATTGTAACAGAAGAAAGAAAACATAAATGAACCTAAGGCGTACACACTAACTTCATCTTGATATATTTTTCCTGAAAAAGTATCATGGAAAGTTGACAAGCTGTTTAGGAGTGGGCCGCGATATTATTCCTTCAGTGCTACAAACAACTTTTCCATCTTTAATTAGGAGCAAATGGAGCCTGACAAATACTATGCAGCAGATCGTCATCTCTCAAATAATTAGCTTGTACTGTTAAGGGAAATTACTTGATTGCCTCAAGTCTATTCTTGCATGTTTCACACCAAGAGAATAATACCATTAAGGAATATAACATTCCGTGTAACTATTTATTCATTCAACAAATATTTATTGGGTTTCTAGTATGTGCCAGGGACTGAGTTAGGAGTATCATTATTTGCCCACTTACCCAAAGGAAATGGGAAACAACTAAAACCAAGGCTTTTTCAAAGCTCAAGAGAGAAAAAAAACTCATTTAAGTGTGGAAATGAAGACTCTCAACCATCCCTTAGATTATTTCAGGCCTTGGGGTAAGTCCACCCTTCGAGCACCAGCTATGCCATCTTTGAAGGAAAGCAGTGAAGATAGGTTATCATGAAGCTGCTATGTATATGCCACATTTAATATTCTCCACGTCACGTCAAACAGCTTGAGGCACTTCTCAGAGTCTGAAAGGATGCTGCTTCCCTGTATCTTGATGGCAACACAAACCACACACTGTGCATCATTAAAATATATCAAATACAGATATTGGTACCCTAGTACCCCACTCTCTCAGAGATGATAAATGAGCAGTAAATGAGTCCAAGCTGTATTTTGTAGAATGTTTTTTTTTCCTTTTGAAGCTGAACTGGGTCTTGTTTTAAGTAACATTCTACACAATGCCAAGAAAAGGCAAGGGAAAGAGAGGGAAATTAATGAGCGAGTAAACATATATTTTTCAGCTGTAAAAACCAGGGCTATTACTGAGGGCTATTACTGAGGTATGACTGTAAGAAAGAAAAAATGATTCTGTTTACT